TTCACTTTTTTCAACTTTACATACACCTTGTAACCCATGTCGTTGTGTATTTCCATTGGCGTGCAATTTCCTTCTACTTTGTATTCATTTTTAATGGACTTTGATCTCAAATCTATGTCGAGTTGATTTGAAATTGAAGCAACCAAATCATTGTATGACGCATACTCCTTTATGAGTATCCCCTCAATCGATTAATCGACATAGTTACTCTCACTGTTCCACTTGTCATAATGACGCAATAGCACGGTCAAACTTGCCATATATGTAAAACCGAATTATATCGAATTTTTATATACAATTGTATGAATCTCGAATTTTATTAGTTGAAAATAGAACTTCCACGAACGACAAAAACAGAAAAATCGAAGGATTGAAAATCTAGAGATTGCTCTGTTTTGTGGTATTTTTCGGATGGAAAATCCTTTCTACAACGTGAAATACAGATTATGCGTGATATAATTGAGTTTGTTGAGTTATATTAGGAGTCTATTTCGTTAATTGATTCACTTACCATTTTAAAACAGCTTAAAAGACCATTTTTACGCAATTTTACGTTACTGTATTCACGAATACACGTCGCGAATACAGTCGAATACAATAATTGCTTAGCTGGACTTCCCATGTTTCACGCCGAGTTTTGCTACTGTATTAATGAATATAGTAGCTTAAATACATCGAATACACTCTATAACAACTGAAAACATAGCTATAGGAAGTAATATAGTAAATGGTAGCTACAAATAGCTAATAACCACTAAACAATAGTGGTTTGTGAAATTTTCTCTTTTTTATTCGGCACATAGTCATCATTTGTTTTTAGCCCGATTCCAAGTCCATTAATATTGTAGAATTGACACCACGTAGCTATTCTAGAAGGCTGCTATTTAGAAATTAGCTAGTGTGTCGTGAATTTTAGTTTTCTAGTTCAATTTTAAACTTTTCAGGACACAAATTTCTCAAGTTAAGCTTTTCAGGACAAAAGAAATACTGACTAATACCTAAATAACACCCCTAAAAATGGCTATTTGTGTACTTCCGCCATTAACATTGGAGAAGATTATTCAGTTCTCTTTCTTAATTAATTCTTTTAGATTTTAGTTCCTCAAGCAACTTTTACATTTTCACTATTTCTCTTTTGATTAATATTATAATCCCTTCACTTAAAGGCAAAATTGTAGTTACAAATGATTTAGTATATCATAGGATGCTAAAGTTATAACTTCGTCCAATAGTTTAATGTATTATCTTTCGTCAAGCATACAAAATATCCACTGAAAATTTCCCTCCGAAAATAATATTTACTATAGTTTAAAGGGCAAATTAGTCTCATGCCATTTTCTAGGCTTAAGTAGAAATTAAGGGATCGTTTGATTGGGAAACAAGTTATCCTATGATTAATTATTCCGTGATTAGTTATCTCACCATTCTATAAAGATAAAAAATACTATAATCACGGGATAACTAATCCCGATATTAGTTATGCCACGATTTTCCCAACCAAATATGAAATAAACTCATCTCAAATTTAATTCCAGAATTAATTATCTTTATCCCTCGTACCAAGCGAGCCTCGAGTGTAATGAATGGGTGTTGCTTTAGTAGTAGAACTTCTCACTTTCAAGGTATAATAATAATGTTCCAATCAATTTATGTGCACCTCGATTGTTTTGTTGAATATCTACTACCTTTCTCGACGAGAGAATGTTGAGAATATCAAAACATAATAAATAAAAAATAAGCCTGTGCACATTATTTTATCGAATACCTGCTATTTTGCTCGACTAAAAAAATATTGAAAATGTCAAATCACACAACACACACACAAAAATAAAAAAAAATAAAAAAAAATAAAGAGCATGTGTGAGTGTCGGCCTAATAAGTTTGGAATCCTAGATTTGGACAAATAGATTATGAGTATCTTTCATGTGGATCTAAAAAGCAAGTCTAGTTGTGGACTCGTGGCCTTATAGGTATGATTATATATATAGTCATCATCATATTCTCATAATGTATTCTAGTATAAATATATTACTCCTTCCGGTCCAAAATAAGTGGTTTTTTGGCCTTTTTCTTGTGGTCCAAAATAAGTGATTTTTCCAGATTTCAAGAATGAATTAATTATTTTTTTCCTATATTGTCCTTGGAGTAAATAGTGTTGGAATATGTGTTAGGAGTGTTTATGTGAGATAGTAAAGGTTAATATGGTCAATTCCATTGCTAATTAATGCTAAAAGGTGAATTTCTTAATTTGTGTGAAAACATCCAAAAAATCACTTATTTTGAACCGGAGGGAGTAATTGTTTGTGACATTTTTCTATATCTTACTATTGTACTAGCATTATTCCTGTTGATATTTTTTCAATAACTGCCGTCCCACCATTGAACACTAGACTCCCATGCATCATTGTCTTCTACTTTTCCTCATCATGCCATTGACTTTTGTGGGTAAAACTCATATCTAATTGCTTTCCCTTTAATTAATTAATTAATTAAGGAAAAGGAATTTTATCTTTGATTCACCAATTAATGTGTGCATTGATTCTTTTGACATCTCGAAGAAAGCATCTTCTTTTCGACAAGATAATGTGTTCGTTTTGCATAATTTAGGTCAAACATTTTCAAATTTTTGGGGCTTAAAGCGATAGTAATTACTAATAGATTAGTATATTCAAGAGATAAGCTTTTGGCTAATTTTCTTTCAACCAATCAATAGCGTTTAGAGGCGTCTAATTTTGTGGTATTATCAATTTTAGCCTGCCCCAAAAATTATTTATATTCGGTTGCCGAAAAAGTGTATAGCTTTTTATATAATATGCATAATGTATATATATATATATATACAAAACATATACATAATATATAATTTTTTCGACTATTACTTTGATAGCGGCTTATATAGTGTAATTTTCCCTCTGAATTTTCCAATGTAGTTAATCATTCAGTAATAACCCGTCCTTTGAGACTTACAAGTGGTGGTATCCCTTTTCTTTTATCATTTCATACGGATATTAGATCAAGTATACTTCGTACTACATAATTAAATCGATATTATATTGTAACATCAATTCTAAAATTAAATTAAAAAACAGATAATTTTAAAATTAGTGCGTACTTATCAACTTTGGAAGCTTTAATTTTGTTTTATACCTTTACTCATCGTTTATGCAATTATTGGATAATATCATATAATAGCACTTACCAAAAAAGTAATTATACTTTATTAATTATGCTAACTATAATGAAGTTAGGAACTATAAATCCGTACTCTTTTTTTATGATCGTTGACCAAATATAATGATTCAGCTTGCACTCAATTCTTTTCCAGTTATGCCTTAACATAGCTGCGATTGGAGAAGATAAATTTGAAAAACAATAAAAGAAACGCAACTTGTATAAGTGGTGCATCTTAATTCTTTTCCATTTAATTCCCTCCACTTTATTATCAATAATAATGAATATGATATTAATCTCTCTCTCGAAAAGTCACGCTAATGATAAGTCTCACACAAAATGTTCTCTTCGTTATCCACTCAAATTAGAATGAATAATAGGTACTCACATTCGGTGTTTACGTCAAAGTAAAGTAATTTATTATAGTTAGGTGATAAAATAAGATGAGAATATGGAATTTAAATTAATTATGATTAAGTGATAAAAGTTAATACGAAAATGTTATGCTGGTTTCTATAAAAACATCACATGCATATAATTTCTTATGTACACACTGTTATTGAAAAATCAGATTAAAATTTACCGAAATGATCATACAAATTATATGTCCTGGATTGGTTAAATTGATCGATTGTCATACAATAATGTGATGCAACTAAGGGTGTGTTTGGTATAAGAGAAAATGTTTTTCAAGAAAATATTTTTTTGGAAAACAAATAGTAATCTTATTTATTTTCCGGTGTCTGGTATGCAAATTAAAGAAAATAACATTTCAAGAGTATTCATAAATGTTAGATACAATAAACATGAAGCCATAAATTTTTGAACCAACAACCTTCCGAACCCACAAATTTCATGAACTTCCGAACCGCTAAACTTTCGAAGCCGCGAACTTTCAAACCTGCAAACTTTATAATTTCTAAACCAAACACATAAACCTCCGAACCCATAACTTTGGAACTTGTAAAATTTCGAACTTGTAAACCGAAAGGTAAAAAAACTAAAACTGAAAATATATAAAAAAATATTTTTTTTCGGGGTGGGGGGTGGGTGGTGGTGGGTGGGGTGGGGGCAAAAAAAACCTTTTTTTATGCGCGGGGGGAGGGGGGGTAGCAAGGTGGATGGCAAAAAAACTAAAATTTTTAAAAAAAAAAAAAAGAAAAAGCCTTTTTGGAGAGAGGGGGTGGGGTGGGTAGGTCGTGGGGTGGGGTTGGGTGGGTGGGTGCGGGGTGGGTTGATGAGGGTGGGGAATAGGGTCGGGAAGGTTGAGAAGGAATTTTGGAAAATCTTTTCCCTTCTCTTGATAAGGAAAATATTTTCCGGGAAATGTTCTCCTTCGTACCAAACACACCCTAAATTTCACGCTCTATAATCACTACATTATTTAGTTACTGTCTAGTTATTATAAGTTTATCATAATTTACTTGAGGTGGAACCAGTGGCGGATACACCTTTGAACATATGGGTGCTGAAGCACCCATTGGCTTGGCCAAATCATATAATATATTTATAAATAATACCTAAAAACTTCACTAATGGATCATGAGCACCCACTATGACTACACTTGGCCATCTAGAATTTAAATTAAAATCAGTGAAGCACCCACGACATATAAATTCTGGATCCGCCATTGGGTGGTGGAACTTAACTATTAGAATGTGAAACTAAAAACTTTGCATAAATTTTTTAACATGTACAAACTAACTAATTGTTGCAGACATATTTACGTATATATATGTAAACGAAGACTTTTAGCCTCCTAAAAGCTTGATTATACAGGCTATTAGTCTAACTCTATAGAGATTAATATTTGCAAGATTTTTTGTAATTGGACGTAGAATATCATTGCATTCACAATTTCTTTTAACAATTATACATTCACACTCTATACAAGAAATTGCAGCTGGTGACAAATTACTAGAGAACACATTCAAAAAAGGAAATAAAAAAGAAACTGAAGTTAATTTTCCTAAGGAAATTCAAGCAGAAATCATTTTAGGATTTTCGAATTGAAGATGCCCTTTGATGATATCTCCATTAACATCTTTTACGTCCCATAGTTCTGTCATGTAATATTCAAATTTCTTCACAACTCCTTCTGGTAAAGAAACCAATACTCGAACAGCATCAAATTCACCCACTGACGGTAAAAACAAGCAGTAAATATCACTGGTTAAAGGACCCATTTGAATTGGCTTCCCTTCTCCAAAATCTACTTCCTCCAAACTCAATCTTGACCACTGTGAAATAACCAAGCTCGCAGATAAATCAGTTTTTACTGTTTTATCTTCTAACAAGTCGACTACTGATTTTATTGAGCCGCTGGTTAATTCAGATTTAGCATTTTGCACCAATTTTACAGTGTCTTGGAAGTTACCATTTACCACATGCTTGACTGGTGCTTCAGCACAACCAAGCACAAATCCATTCCCATAATACCCTTCTGGTAATTCTGGTTTTACTGCCTTCCTAATATTCACAGAAAATAGGAGCTTCACGTTAATGGAGGATGGTAAATCTAAGGATTTAACCCAACAACGCCACGTGTGAGAAGCTAGAACCTCAAAGCTGGTGGATTTTACCGAGGGTGAACATTGTCTTTTTAGGTGAAGAATTTGGGACTGTGAAAATGTTATGGATGCAGGGGTGATTGGTTGGGATTGTAAATATTGGAAAAGGTTGAGGCTAAATTGGGATTTTTGGCTATCAAGGGGTATTTTCGTGAATGTTGGATGTATGGAGGTTATTTGTGGAGGATCACGGGGTTTTAACACGTGGCGTGAATGAAACGGGGTGATTGGTAAAATACCGGTGGGGTCCTTTGTAAAGTGGGCCCAGGCATGTAAGAATTGAGCAGTGCCAATGCCGTCGCAGAGACAATGGTTGATGGCGGTGCAGAGGATCATACCCCCGCAACGGAGATTTGTTACCTGTAATTGAAGCAAAGTGAGTGAGGAAGGGTATTTTCGTCTTTTACAAAAAAAAATGACGTTAAAAGAAAAAGCACCCAACCAAAACTAAGTGAAAGGAACAAAAGGGAGAAATTAGCCAATATGAAAGAGGCGTAGAGTGACTATCTTTTTTAAGTCGTTTTCTATGGTGGATCCAAAGATTTATCCATACAATTCCTTGCAATATTACTTTTGTAAGTATTTATTGGCTTCGTTTTCATGATACTACAGTTAGGAAAAAAATTAGAATTTTAAAGTTTTTAAAATTTGGTATATACACGTAAGATATGTCTCTTGTTACAGTTTATGTTGTGACTTACTATGATTTGTCCCCTTGGAACCCTAGCAATGCTACTTTCAAATATGAATGTATTGTTATACTGTATCTAATCACGTTCCATATGTGCCACATTTTGTTAAAAAACGAAAAAGGAAATTTGGTTTTAATTTCTTGACAGCGAAAGTAGTTAACTTCCCAATTCTAAACAATATGTACAATATTCTCGTTCAAATTATTAATTTAGAACACACATATCAACTTTTCATGCTAAACGCTCAGTGGTACGTATAAGAGGTACGTTTCACTATTCCTTGCAATTGGCAAGACAATATATAGAAGGAATTAATGTTAAAATTAAAATAAAGAAAACAATTAATTTTTGGTAAAAAACATTTATACTATCAAAGATAATAACTTGTTATAGCAACTAAGATGTCTCATTTTGTCTAAATTATTAATTTTATTTTTTATGAACGATTATTCATAGTCATCTTTAATAATAATCAGCCAACTTATAAAAGTTAAACTCAAAATTAGAAACTAACCTGCACAACTAGAGGGGGAATATCCAAGAAATTGGTAGCTTCAACCTTATACAATAATTTCCTCCAAGATTTATCAGGCTTATTAGAAACAACAAGAAGTTCATCAGCTGTTAAATCCAAGAATGCTTCAGCAAATATAGCACCTTCTCCATTACAATCCACTTGAAGTTTGTGATCTGGGCATGTTCTTACTCTCCCTGCTAAAGGATAATAATCCACTAAAACTCTTGAAAGAGAAGATTTAAGCCTGACCAAATTTATGGACTTAGTATAAAGATAAAGATATTTGATGGAAAATCTAAGGAACTTTTGATCATCAAGATTTGATAAATAAAGGGAGTGATTTGGTGTTGGGCTAATGGGAGTTATGAAAATAGGTTCTTTTGAATAAACACAATCTGGGAGCTCTATTGAGCCTAACATGGTTGTTTTTTTAGTAAAGGAGAGAAAATTAAAGAAGGTAATTTTAATGGAAGAATAAGGTTTTTGGAGAAGATCTAAGTAAAGGATGGTGCTTTATAAAATGGATTACAAGTTAAAGATCTATGGTTGGATATGGTTGCTGGGGGTGGGGGTGGGGGGAAAGTACTATAGGAGAGATTCCTCCCCAAAAGTAAGACTACAAAAAGTGAAGCTTTCATTATTCTTGCTATATGAGCTCACACTTTTGAATTTCTTCTACCATTATTTTACATGATTTTATGTGCAGCTACATGTGCTTCCCATATTCTCTCCCCCTTACCTTGTCTTTCTTCACATGTGGTAATTTTTTCTTAACTTCTTTACCTGAAAAGTATAATTTTTTAATGTTATTAATGTATTTTAATTAATTTGTTATAACAGTTAGGGGTCGTTTGCTAGGATATATAACAACAACAATAACATACCCAGTAGTATCACACACCGTGGGGTCTGGGGAGGGTAGCGTGTACGCAGACCTTACCCCTACCTTGTGAGGATAGAGAGGTTGTTTCCAATAGACCTTCGGCTGAGGAAAGCATAAGCACCCCATTAATGAAAATATAGACAAGAAGGGACAGTACCAAAAAGTCATATAAAAGCATAATAAAAACAACAAGATAGTAAGGTGATCAACAATGAAAGAAAACAACGGTTAGTCATAAAAATCTACTACCAACAGAAAGCGAGACTGCGTGTCAATACTACTGTTATGAACACTCTAGACTACCGACTCTACTACCCTAATCCTCAACCTCCATACCTTCTTATCAAGGGCCATGTCCCCAGTCAGCTGCGCCATGTCTTGCCTAATCACCTATCCCCACCTCTTCTTTGGCCTACCTCTACCTCTCCGTAGGCCCTCCAATGTCAACCTCACTCACTTGGGCGTATGTGCTCCTCCTCCTCACATGACTAAATCACCTAAGCCGCGCTTCCCGGATCTTGCTAGGATATATCAAGGAAAATAATACATATATTAGCTTTGATATTATTAATTCCTTGTTTGATAGTGTTTTTCAATCTATGTATAGCTAATACTTGTAACAGTTATACATGTGATTCAGTACAATTCTTATACGTAGCAAATCATAACATTATATGCTCTCTAAGGTGATCAAGAAACTTAATGGATGGCAAGCCAATATGATGTCCTCTGGAGGGAGAATGATTTTGATTAAATATGTCTTACAATCCTTCCCCACTTACATCTTATCTGCTATGAACCCTCCTAAAGGAATCACTAAGCTCATGGAGAAACACTTTGCAAACTTCTTGTGGGGTACAAATGAAGGTAAAAACAAATATCATTGGTCTTCATGGAACAACCTTTGTCTACCCAAAGATGAGGGAGGAGCTGGTGTCGGAAAAATGGAGGATATCATAGATACACTTAGCATTAAAAGATGGTGGATATTCAGAACTCATCCTTCCCTTTGGGCCAACTTTCTCAAGAATAAATATTGCAAAAGAGCACATCCAGTAAACAAAAAGCCAAATCCCACTGATTCTCATAATTGGAGAAACATGCTCAAAATCAGAGACAAAGTTGAGGAAAACTTTAGATGGGAAATACAGAAAGGAAATTGTAGCTTTTGGTGGGATAACTGGACAGGTAAAGGTGCATTAGCCAACATCCTACAAGGTAGAGGGAGATCTTCTAAAGTCCAGGTTAAAGACTTTATGGATAATGGAGAATGGAATATTGACAAACTCAACGACGTTCTCCCTGCGCATATTATGGATAATATTGTTCAACTGAAAATAGGAGACCCAAATGAGAATGAATTTTCTGTTTGGACTACTTCCAATGATGGGAGATATTCTTCTAACTCAGCATGGCATTCTATTAGATTCAAGAAACAGAAGAATGTCTTTATAAACAAAATCTGGCATAATTCTCTCCCCTTTAAAATGTCCTTTATATCTTGGAGAATTCTCAAAAATAGATTGCCATTTGATGATGTTATTTGTAGATTTGGTACTAACATTATTTCCAGATGTTCTTGTTGTTCCTCTGTGCTGGTAGAAACAGTTCATCATGTCTTTAATAGTAGTGAAGCTGCCATCTTCATATGGAACAACATAGGAAATGCATTTGGAATCAAACATCAACAGGAGCCTATTATTGCTACCTTCAAAAGATGGTGGAAGACAACGGCCAACAATAAAGTGCACAATCAAATGCTTCAAATAGCTCTAACAATCATATGCTGGGAACTTTGGAAACAAAGAAATGCATGCAGATACGGAAAACAAAAGAAGTTTCAACTGAACACTATGAGACACCAAATCACATGGACATTAAAAGTGGCTATCTCCAACATGGTACCTGGTGACTACACTCAGATGGAATGACCCTTATTATGTGATAAGATCGAGAGACTCAGACCATCTCAGAAATGGATACAAGTCACATTGGAGTTTCCTCTACCTGGCACTGTCAAAGTTAATACAGATGGAAGCTTCTACAAAAAAAGTGGTAAGGCAGACATTGGAGGGGTGATTAGGAATAGTCCAGGGGACCTTATTACGGCATTCTCTATTCCTATCAGCTGCGATGATAATACCATGGCAGAGGCCAAAACAACAGAGTTTGGAGGGAAATGGTGTAGTCAGAATGGGTACACTAATTTCTCTATCGAACTGGACTCAAAGATCATAGTGGATATGCTCACGGATGGAAACTCTAACAACATGAAGACTAAAAAGTTGATAGACAGAACTTCCCTCATCATTAAACAAAATCAAGCAACGGTTAGGCATTGTTTCAGAGAAGGGAATCAGGTAGCAGATTGTCTTGCTAAATTGGCTACCACCACAAATAAGAGAAGGGTGTATCGTTCATTTCAAGAATTGCCTAGCAATGCAAAAGGACCATTTCTCCTTGATAAATGACAACTTCCTAGTATAAGGGCAAAGTATGAAAAATTTAATTTCTTTGTCAGTTAATTTTGTTCATAGGTCTTAGGAAGGAGGGTGTACATATATGAACCTCCTGCCCTTTTGCATTACCGTTGTTGTATTTTGTGAGGTCAGGTCTAGCCCCCCTCTTGCGCTTTTTTGAATACAACACAACCTAGACGGCTGTCTGGGCAACTTTATATAAAAAAAAAAAAAATTATATCATTATTTTTAATACAAGGATAAGCATGTATAAAGACAGAACTGTCATTTCAAAACCTTTAATATACCAAAACAAATTGTCAATAAGAAATAATGCTAGCATAACTAATCACAACATTAATTACTAACACACCGTATTCAATACTATTCTTATACACCCGACCAAATGATCCATTAGGTTATTAATTTCACTTTATGGGAAAGATTGTCCGTGGTTTATCTTTTATGACTTGATAATGCAGAATCACTATGTAATGTCTAGTATAGAAGTTAAACGCAAGGTAAAAAAAGTATATAACTTTGATAGAATAATTGGTACTCCATAATTTTATCATAGGTACTTGTAAGTAATTCATTTTACCAACTTAGCTAGAATTTGCACGTTGTAGTTTTTATCTATAGAAATTTGTTCCTGTGTCCTTTAGTTAATATGTATATGTATTCTTGATTAATGAGCAGCCTATCCATAGTTGACTCGAGGTAATGAGTAAGCAATCTAGGATCTATATATATGATGGCTAGTGACTTTAATTTGCTGATGGAGTGCAAATCTAATGTGTAAACCACAAGTATATGTCACTCTTTAATTAGATAAAATAAATATATGTATATTCTCTAGCTTGTCATTAGTCTCTAGCCCCACATTTGTGAGCTCATGCGTGTGCATTTATTTATTTGACCTGCCCCTTTCGGTCCTTTCCTCGTTATTTTTTGCCAAGGAATTCAAAGAGAGTTTCTTTTTTCCATTCATTACATGATGTGGCAAAATAAATTCTATTATATATTCTAGTTTTAATTTTGTAGCACATATAATTAGTTTACATATGTCAGCTGCGGAGAGACATTTGGAGTATATATATTAAGTGTTCTAACACTAATTATATCATCCAAATATATATCGTATATCAACAAATTGTGATTTTGAGAATCGTAATAAAAGAGCTTCTTAATGAGTAGATACATGAAAATGTGAAACAAGATTAGATTATATTCCAATGTGTGAAGCTATTCTTCAAGCAGAGTAGCTGATCCATAAGTCATTAGAGTGTTTGTGTGAATAATGAAATTATTAACATAATTTGTTTAAATTACTGTATGGTGATATAATAATTTTTCAAGAAAATGATACGAGAACAGGCGGCGGTGAAGAAGTAAAGGTGATCCAAAAAAGTATAACAGGACTCAAGAAGCATCAAGAATGATGAGTAGACTACATGTTTTTATTCCTATTACATGTCCACTGCGAAAAATACAAACGTGAAAGTATTTCCACATAAGAACAAAGAAGAAAATATCCTGGCGCAAACGTAGGCGCAAATCTTTAATGATGTTGACCTTACAGTAGTCTCTACTTGATATATGTTATTTTTTTTAGTTTTTCATCGGCCGGTATCGTATTGGGGTCCGACTAAATTTGGATTCACATTAGAAAGTTCCATATTAGGGGAGTTAAAACACTCCATAATAAAGATGACTCCATATTCCGGACTCGAACTCAAGACATTTGATTAATGATGAATGAGTGCTTACTACTCCACCACGATTGTTGGTTGTTATTTTTGTTTCCTACAGAAATAATTTGATATGATTAGTGTTGTAAGATGCAAGAAGTAACTAGAAACCATATCGAAGTGATAAGTAATGAGCAAAAATTTAATAGGTTTGATTACGTTAGGGTAATACCAAAGTAGCTAAGTGCGTTGATAAAATAAGAAGGAATAGAATGGAAGGAGCACTCTAACTAAACTCCTTCTAAAGACATTCCACCAATTTATTTTTTATAATTCATGATATAATATAAACGCATCTTTAACGTTGTCAACGCATACTCATTCGATATTCGGTAAAAAAGAGTAAGAAAATAATTTCCTATTTCATATTAATTAATTTCGAGTGTTGACTCAACAAGTTTGTCTTGATGTCGAACTAGAAAAGGAATTATTATTGTATTGTACGCACTCTGTGTTTTTCACAAATTGATGTAACCAATTAGATTACTCTACCTTTTTCCTCATTCAGTTCCTATTAGTATTATTTA